TTTGAATATTTAAAAACAAGTTCCATTTCCAATCATATCTTCTTTTTTCTTCGTTTATCTTCTTTTTTCTTCGTTTATTACATAGCTAAGATATACTCCGTTCAACGAGACAATGACCTCAGATCGGACGAAAACTTGTCCATTTTACACAGTGCAGCATACTTCATAGCTTCTATATAATCTACATGTTCTGTTGTCCACTGTTTCTCTCACTTTTCATTTTACATCTATCTATCAAACAGTTATGTCTAATATCTTAAAATTTTGTTTCATGTAAGTGAACAAAAATTGGATTTTTACTGTCATTTATATTAACTTTTTAATTTATTTACATTTGCATTACACAGTAAATGGAACAGTTTAATGGAACATGTGCAACAAACTTTATATAAACAGTTCAATCTTGACAGTCATGTAAGTTTTTACCATTTTTTGTGTATAATCTGTTGTTTGCAAAATTTTTATTTTTAAAATTCTTGGGTCGGTTGTTTTTTAAACAAAATATTTTTCTTTTTAGTCAACTTAGATATTTAATGAGAGATTAACTCGGGCATCACTACCACGTTTTTTCTCGCTTTTTATGTTATTAGTTTATACTCATATGCGCTACCATTATGTAATTTTGTTAATATATCTTTTGTACTTGAAGAGAATCTTGTAGGTCGAAACGTATACGTTTAATATTCACTTTGAATAAATGATATTATAATACACACTAATAACCTGTGTCGGCTCATATTGGCATTTTATTTATTATTTTTTGGAATACTTCATAGCTTTGTACAGCGTTACATTGTCTGCTATGTGCAAACCGAGATCATTCTCTCGTTGAACAGAATATAGAATGAAGCAATGTGAAGTGCAAATCGGTGAGAGTCTTAAAAAAAGGCGTCAACTGATCACGTAACTCTGAACAAAAACTACATTATAAAAAACATAATTTTAAACACATTGCAAATCGGTGAGAGTCTTAAAAAAAGGCGTCAACTGATCACGTGACTCTGAACAAAAACTACATTATAAAAAACATTATTTTAAACACATTTCTCTCGGTTCTTTCTTAAAACTTATTTTATTCTTACTGATTCATCTCACTTATTACATAAAGTCATTACATATGTATTCTTGAATTTCATAACTTAGAATAAATTCTTGCAACATGTTAGTAAGGAAGAAATAAATAAAAAAAATACTAGTATTTTAAAAAAAGTTTATATTAAATATGATCCCGTCAGATCTCTTATATCATATGAAGTGTTGAAGGTATTTGTATTCCAATTATTAAAAGAGGTGATGGTGGATACTGGCTTGAACATTGGTGATTTAGACGAAGGAACGGGCAGAACAAAAATTAAGAACAAGGCTAAAGATAAAAAATTAAAAACCGAAAAAAATCGTAAAATTTTATCAGTTTGATTACGGTTTGGGTTTCGGTTCACTAAAAGAAAGGGTTCCAGAACGGTTTTCGGTTCCGATTTCAATTCTGTCCGAGTCCCTAGTTTAAATAGCAAAAACTTAACTACAGTTCGTTTATTTGGAACTGAACATTAATTATTGTTTAAATGATAGATCCAGATAATCGAAATTCTAACATATTACTTCTGCATGTGCAAAATTATCGCACTAAATACACTGTTTTATCTTGATAAAACTTTTGTTTTTATTTATTTAGGCGAAGTAAAAAAAATCTTTAATATGCCGAAAACTAGTACAGTTCCTGGTTTGGTTTATCTACCGGCGAGAGATATTCCGACAAAAACTGCGATGGGTTTTATCAATGCTAGAAAAAAAGTCGACGGCGCGGAAGGATTATGGAGGATCGAAAATAAACTTTATGATTTGGAAAACTTCGTGAAATCGCATCCAGGTGGATCTGAATGGCTTCGGATCACGAAAGGAACCGATATCACTGAATTGTTCGAGGTATTGAATTGAATCCATTGCAGAATTAATTATAATTTATCTTGGACAACATTATCATAATTAATCAATTTTTTGCTTAAAGTTATCAATCATTGTATTTTTAATTAATCATTACTAGTCATTATTTATTATATTATTATTATTATATTTTTATAATAATTTTTATATAATTTCTTTTCATTAATTTTATTTATATATAAACTCACGGCTGCATACATTTTATTCGTTCTATTTCTTTCGTTTCTGTATTATATAATTTGCAATATTCCTTGAAAAATTTGAGATTCACCGCTACGATTCTCGTGTTCAGAATTTTGAATTTTAACATTGACTCCGTCACGTAGGCCCACCACATTACCGACAAAGCTGAACAGCTTTTGCCCAAATTCTACGTTCGGGAAGCCGCAACACCGCGATCGGTGCCTCTGACCTTTTTACCAAACGGCTTCTATCGTACATTCAAGAGACGGGCGGTCGAAGCTTTGAAGAAGGTGAATTTTCATAAATCGTCTACAACAACGAATCTCATCACTGATTCCTTAGTGACAGCGACTTTCGCGTTAAGTCTCATGGCTGCCTTCTTCCACTCCTATGCTATTCTACTCCTTGCCAGTAAGAAACCATCTAAATCTATTTGACGTGTGTGTGTGTGTGTGTGTGTGTGTGTGTGTGTGTGTGTTTATGTGAATTATAATTAAGATATAAATAAATTAGCTAAAGAATGGAAATTATATATTCGATAAGAGTCATAAAAGTAATAATAATTGTAATGCTTAAGAAATGTTAAAAGCAACGATGAATTTTAGATGAATATATTTATTAAGTAATTAGCTCTATATTAATTATAATTATTAAGCAAATGAATGTATTAATTAATTGCTTTATTTGATGATAATTTTAGGTCTTTTTTTGACATGGACGGCTAACGCGGCACACAATTATTTCCACATGAGAGACAATTTTCGCATGTATTACTTCGATCTGAGTATGCTATCTTCGAAAAATTTCCGCATCACGCACGCAATGAGCCACCACATGTACCCTAACACCATATGGGATTATGAGCTATACGTGGTCGAGCCGTTTGTACAATGGATGCCTCGAAAGGATAAAACCTACTTAATGGGAATGATAGGCAAAATTATCAGTCCCATCGTCTGGATGTTAATGTATATTGCGGAAGGCATAAAACGGTAATAGAATCATTCCATATTCTTTTGTTACAATTAATAGAAAGATTTTTCGCTTGTATTTTCACTTCGAATTCTTAATTAAACATCTGCTGTGTTAATTCTAATTCTGATATCGCGTTTTATCGACGCCGAAAAATTTGCTGAATGAATTTCCACTTCTGTCTCTCGCGCTAAAAAATTTAATTACTTTTAGATACTATTTAGTGTACACGGAGTATGGGGTTTTCGAATTTCGTGATTTCATGCCATTCTTGCTGCCTATATCGATGAGTTTGGTGGCGCCCAAGATTCTCATTGCCTTAAAGCTGTGGTTGATAATGTTGCTGATTAGTAGCACTTTATTCGGCCTAATCGGCTTCAACGCGGCCCATCATCATCCTGACATCTTTCACGATGGCGATATCTACAGGTTACACATAATTCGCGTTTTATTCATAACAAATCATTGAATCAATCAGATCTATCTATCTTTAGAATCGATTAGATCTATTTTGTTTTCCTCCATTGAAAAATAATTCAAGTAAAATAATTTAGATTAATTTAATTTTAAAAAAAGAAGGAATATTGATTTAACTTTAAATTTAGATCTATGATTAATTCAATATTGATTTCATTTTTATACAACTTTTACTTTATCTTTAATTCTCCAATTTCGATTTGGATAAAATTAATTCGCCTAGCATTAATCTCAATTTTAACTTCGACGCAATCTTAATTTTTTCAATAACAAAACATTTTTGTTGCTTTGCAAAATTCCTCTCAAAGAAAATTTTTCCTAATTTTTCTAATTATTACAATATTTCCAAGAAATGACATGGACTGGGGTCTGCTCGAGTTGGACGCCGTACGCGATCGTGTGGATATCGACAAATCATTATTCCTAATTGTTACGCACTACGGCTCGCACACATTGCATCATCTGCTACCCACCGTGGACCATCACTACTTGCCATTATGCGTGCCTGCTTTTCTGAAGACGTGCGAGGAATTTAACGTCAGCTCGGATAAATGGACGCAATGGAAGCTTCTGAAAGGACAATTCAACCAGATCATGCGAACTGAAGTGAAGAAGAATCACAGATAATGCTCATCTTTAATAAAATAGCGTGCTCAATCGCGGATGTTGAATTATTACGTATAATTTCTCACGTATCAGTTTATGATGTAAGCATAAGCATTTCGGGTAAACATGTTCCATACAGCGCGTTTTATATAAGAGACATCTTAGGTCCTTAAGACATTCAGAGGATATTTGGACATCCTCTGGACGTCTTTAGAAGAAGTTCTGTGTTGTGCAGAATGTAAACGAGATAACTAAAGTAGTTAAATTACATGCATAATTCTAAATAAGATTAATTTTAAGAGTTGAAACTCTCAATCTGGATATAAAGTAGAAAAATAAATAATGATAATTCTATTTTATTTCGAGAAACAAAAAAATTTACGAGAATATGTATGTATATATCTCCACTTAAAATACTTTATCTATTATATAAAAACCAATAATTATTTTTTATGATTATTTTGTTGTACGATTGTGTATATAATAAATTAAGCCAATAACTAAACAACTAAAAGATTTCTTCTCGTTCATGGTGAAGATCGATACTTGATGTGCAACGAATTTATAAGGTTGGAGCACAGGGTAAAGGCTGAAGTATTGACCTTTGCATAACGCATAATGCATAAAGTTTAAGCGAATCAATCAGTCAGAGCCTTTCTTTTCCATGAAAAAAATGAAAGACTCTGATTAATTATCTTATAAACTTTTTACAAGGTATTATCTAAATCTCAAGTCTTAAATCATAAGAAATTAATCAATCACAGTCGAATACGAGAAGAATAACTGATTGATCAATTTCTTATAGCTTAAGACTTAAAGCTTAAGTAATGACTTACTGTAGAAAGCCTATTATACTTGATGTACTATGCGTTTGTGCTCCGGTCTTTACTCTAGAATCTTGGATTTGAGCGGATGATCGACAAACGGGGCAGCTTAGTTCTTATCTTTATTTATTGCTTATTTACTTTAATAAATACATACTTCGTCTCTCTTTATAAATTACAATTAAGTTTATAGGATACGATATCATTCGGATGACACGTGTAATGATACGCGCTGTTGATCAAATCGTTCATCGCGACTCGCTTTCGTTCTGCTTCTCGCGAATATATCCTTATCTTCTTTTCTCGATCTCGTTTTCAATTCGCGTTCGACTTTTTGCTCGCTATGTGTTTGTCGCAACTCGCGAGAGCGTGTATTCATAAACATGTATTCGTCGCTCTGTTTCCCCCCCCCTCCCCCTCCACCACCCTTTCGTCTTCTGTGTATGCGTATGTGTGTAAATATTAATATATCTGTGTCGCGCTGGCTCTCGCCCTCTCATCGTCCGCTCGCGTGTCCTCTCGCTCGATCTCTCTCACTCTCCCAATCTCTCCCTCTCTTTCTCTCTCTCCCTTTCTCTCCCTCGACTGTCAGCTCGAGTGGTGAAGAAACGCGTCCTCGCCTCTCTTCACTCTCTCTCACCCTCAATCCTCTCCTTCTCGAGCGAGCGCTAATTTCTTCACTTTTTCTCTTTTTGACCGATTACACGAAAACATTTATTATCGAGAAAAATGACGAGAATTCAATGATCCGGATGTGATGATACTGATTGATCGATCGCTCGATTGCGAGATGACGATGCTGTTGAGAGCTCTGAGCGAGCTCTCGGATTCGTTACATATATATATGTTCTTCGTGTCTTCGTTCGACGATGAATTCGATGAGGACAATGATGTTTTTCCTCCTCTTCTTCTTCTTATTCTCCGGATGTTTTTTTTTTTGACTGTTGAATTTTTGATTCTTTTTTTTTTGTTTTTGGTTGCTTTTACTAATGATTTACGCGAATCTCGGAAGGAGCTTTACAGTTCACCATCGGGCTGCATGTCGAAGCCGGGAAAACGGCGAGGTAATAGGGGACCATCGAATTCAGGTTTTAACACAGGTCGGTGTGGCTGAAAGAACAGAGATACAGAACTGTGAATTTCTTGCGAGTATAATAAATATAAATACGGAGAAATATTCGGACGAATTTTACAATAGAATTTTGTACGGATTTATATAAGAGGGGAAAAAGGGGAAGAAGGGGTGAGTGACACGTTCTCTGTGTCGTTCCTGCTTGTCATCCAATGTTCTTTGTTTTTCTAACCCCCTGCACTCGAAATACGCGAGTGGGAATCGCAATGACGCACCGAGGGTCGTGACACCTCTATTTTGCCGCGTGATAAACGCAACATGTGCATTTTTTTTTTTTTTAAACGAGACATTTATCTCAGACACTCGTAACTGGTGAGTATTAGTTACATTTCTTTCTTTTCGAAAAATCGAAATTAAGTCGCAGTTCCTGTTGATAGCGAACTGTCAACGTATTGTTAAATATAATTTCAAGATCAACAATGACGATGTACATTGGCGAGGACACTGGAAGAATCTACCTGCATTAAAAAAAATCGAATAGACGAAAGTCTGACTCAAATAAGAGCGAGCGTGAATAAAAGAAACTTAATTAATTCACGAGAATTTGAGGAAATTGATACGTAGAAATGTATAAAATTGTTTGTGGATAATCTCAAAAAAATTTATTCATAAAAAGAAATGTCTAATTTGCTGTGTTGGATTAGCGGGAAGTATTAAAAATGTGTCAAATACTATGCTTTAAACATGGAAACCGATATAATAATAATTGCATACTTAAGAAATTGAAATTTTTAATTTATCCGTATATCTAAAAAACAGTAAAGATCATCGTGATAAATTTATCTCTTAGGTTATCTAACTTTTCGGACAATTATATTAATTTAATGTCTATATTGCAAATTTTATGTGAAGGGCGTCCTGGGAACGTTCTTAGAAAGTAAACGTCTTTTAAAACATAGGACGTCTTCTGAATGATTTTAAGAGGTCTATGCTGTACGTATCAATATTCAATAAATAAATAAACTAGTCCAATTTATTTCTCAAATATTGGTTGATTCCGTTAGCTACTTTTTCACACACAGCCGATGCTCGGCTTCTAACTGCTCTAATTTCTAACGGCGTCTATACGGCTCTACCAACTTGCAAGTAAATATTGTACAGAGAAAAGGACTAGGTGTGTGATTTACACAAAGTTAATGACGAAGAGCAAGCTCGGGCCCACCCCGAGAGGATGTTATCGGACACACAGGTGCAAACGAGACAATGATAGATGCAAGAGGGAGTCTCTACCGCGCGTGTTCCTCTCGCGTTTTGTAAACTCCTGCTTGTAATCACTCTCTCTCTCTCTCTCTCT